AGTGAAGGGAGATGAAAAAAGAAACTGACGTAGGGAGCAGACGAACAAAGTAAAAGGAAGAAACTAAAATGACTTGTTCTTAGGATAGTCCAAACTATGAGGCTTAGCGAAAGAAAAAGAAGTATTCTTTTCAATGTTTGCACTGTATGCAAATAAGTTTAACTTTCTATCCAAAGTGCATCGTTATAGATGCATTCAGCAGATAATTTTTTATCCTGTAACCTTCGTTAATTGCAATAAATCTGGTTCTTCACTTCATAACCCACTTATTTTGGTTATGAAAACAGAATTAAGGCAAACCGGTAAAGAAAGAGTAAAAAGGAATAGTCAATCAAAGGTGGAGCAAACAGTTAAGCAAGAAAACTAATAATTTACTATAAATTTCGTTGTGCAGTAAAAACATTTATACTGCAACACCATTTGTCTAATATGGTCACCAGTATTACATATGAAAACAATAATTGTTATTTTTTAATTATGGTTTTTTTTGCAAAGAAAGAAATTTTTGTGGTTTTTCTTAGATCAGTATTTCTATTTTACATAGCCAGTGTCCAGCAAAAGTACACACTTTGATTGATCTTTCATCGTCACAGCTATTACCTGACGAGAGTGATCATAAAATTGCATCAAAATTTTAAGTTTCTATGAGTTTAACAGTATCTCGCTCTCCACAGTTCACATGCAAATGGTCAGCTGGATAGCGGGATACCAGCAGCTGATAAGCCGACAAGTAGCTGACTCTCTGTTTTCCACTGATAGAATGCATTAAACGGTACGCTGCTTAATGAAAAAACTGATCTACGTTACTGGTGCACTACTTTTTTGCTCTTCCGACCGATGTGCCATGAAGAAGTGAAGAAGAAAACAAAAACAAATATCGGCTAAGAAAGTTTTTCTTTCTTAAAAGTAGTTTTGATATAAGACCCGATTATATGTTCTCCCTATTGTTTTTACCATACAAACAGACTTGAAAAAACTTTATTCCTGAATAACTAACATGAAATAACTTATTTAAAATATTGATTAAAAACAGAAGACGAGGGTGTCCTGGCATTATACTGCGTAAGTTAACAAAGCTCGAAAACTCTTGGAAGACACAAAATGACAGAATTCAAGAAGTATTTTGAGCAGGAATAACAATTGAACTGCTGGATTCTAAAACCTATGCGATCTTTAGGAAGTAATATAAAGCATCATTAGCGGAATATGAAATAAGAAGGGGTAAGTTTAATCACTGGGAGCACAGATCACAAGGAAGATGTTAGAAGGCAGCAAAGCAATGACAGACTGTTGTATTACTATTTAGAATTCAACTTGACAAAACTGCATACTTTAGTCAGTTTTCAACGGATCTTCAGTTTAAGAACAATTAAATTACAATTTGTGAAAGGTTTTTTTACTGGTAAAATTTACCTTTTCAAATAGTTAGTCAAACTGTTTTTTGGAAAGCAATTTGAGAAAATAGGCATATTGCCAAAATAAATCAAATTAGTTCAAAAAATCTCAGCACTGATAATAGTGCTGCTGTTTTTGCTATTGATAGTAAAATGGGTTGTTAATGTGTTAAAAATTCTTTTGCATGATTTCTACTTCTCTGCTTATAAAAC